AAAATTGCATATGTTAGGATAGATCTACACTAAAACATCCATGCCTTTTCTGAATGCAGAGTCTTAGTGGAGGCTTGTGTGTGTGTGTGTGTGTGTGTGTGTGTGTGTGGAGCTCAGAGCAGCCAAGGTGGGAAGGCAGAACCTGAGGCAGCAGAGGCTGAAAAGGAGGGTGCAATCTTGTCCCCAAGAATCAGGCGCTGCCTTCACATATGGGTGCAGACCCACCTATCCCCAAGGAGCGTGTATTTGCAATCCCAGCATTCCTGCAAGGCAAGTAGGTCTTGCAATTGAGATGCAACACCTTGTCTTTGAAAGCTGGGCTGGCAGGGTGTGGAAACTTATAGGGGCATCTTTGTTGCTTACATTCAGTTCTGAATCATTTGCCCTGCTCTTGACTCCCAGAACCATGATTCCTGAGCCTTGTGTCTACTGCTGTTATTTGTCTCAATAAAGATCTCTTCCTTTCCTACAGGGGTATCAACTTGAATAAAATATGGGAGGGGGCAGGTAAGCCCTTCCTTGCATAAATCACATGATGCGGTGCGCACACCCTGTTTGAATGACAATGGCCATCAAATTTGGGGGCACTGGCTCACTCAAATATTTATTGGGGGGCAAAGTGACCCTGGCCCCTAGGAGTTGGCTCATATGCTTAGCTACAAGTAAAAGCCTACGTTGGCATGTTTGAAGAATCCATAAGTTTAGTGTCTCTCATCCTCTTCACAGTATGTTGGGTTTCTCCGCCTCATAACATCTTTACTCTGTCTCTGTCCTGTACTTTGGATGTGTGCTTCTTTGGACAAGCACTAAAATAAATACGAGAAACTATTTTCCACATTTAATTGAGTCTGTTTGCTAGGAACATTTTGTTTCTCCTCGAAAAAGCAGGCCATTACACAAATCGTAAAAAGCTAGCTGCTCTGATGAGGTATTTATATGTCTTTTTTTTGACTTACAGAGAAAAAGATTAGGTGTGTACATACAGAGTCCCAAATGATCAACATGTAGTTGGGAACACCACTGCGTACATCAATTTACCCCCACATTTTGGCTGTCTTGAAAGTTCTTCTGAATCTGTGTTTATGTTCAGTGGTCGATTATTATTCTTTAAATGGTGCTTTCTGTTTTATTCATTTCTAAGTGTCTTTCGATTGTTTTCTTTAAGCAGTCATAAATAAACCTCACAAACAACAAGATGAAAAATCAATAACACGGAACAGTGTACCATTTTCAACAATTTCTGCTTTAACTATTTATTCTGAAAGGGAGGGAAAAGGTTCAAAAATAGCAGGAGAGTTCTCCACATTTCCACATCAGTCTGCATTTTTTAAAAGTTCCTGTGAAAATCCACCAGCATTTTAGTGTAAATCTCTCCTAATATATATTTTTCACCATATATGATGCAATTATGTATGCTATTTTAACTATATATGTGTAGGTCACAACGCATTTGTGTGCAAATTAGGTCAACTCATTGCCACCAACTTTGCAGCAATGCTTGCCTTGTGATCATTTTTATCACAGAGCTGACCAGGTGTTGATTTTGTGATAGCCTGCTTTACTTGGAACTATTCAATCCTTGATTTATTTGACTAACCCTATCAAAACAAAGTCAGCTTTTGCCACGACTGCTTGGTGCAGATCATTACAAGGTAAACTATAAAATTCCTTTGCTTTTCACACATCATTTCAGCTGGAAGAAGACAGAGGGGAAGGGAAGAAAATTATACTCAACAGTACAAGTGAGGGTAACAATGCTATTAAATTTGAATGTGGAACCTTGCAAGATGTGTTTCTTCTGATACAATAGCGTATATCTAAGTGCAACTTTCTTCATATCCAAGATATTGTAAATCATCTGTAATGTCTTTTAATTAAGATTGGAACACTTGCACTTATTGCTTGTTATTGCACTACATAAATTACATCCATTCTGCATTTCATATGGTGGAAGAATGGTTTTTCTTTTCCACTCAGATATTCACCTCTGGAGAATAAGTAAAAAGCTGTTGAATCCCCAAAACATAGCGGGTTACAATTCAGCAGCACAAGAAATCACAAACCTTCCCCGTTCCTTGCTATATCTGAATAATCATTCACAAATATGTATCTGTTACTTGATGACTGCACCATCAAGTGGTGAAATATGTATGGTGATCTTTCCATCTCACATTCTAGGGCATGTGCAGACAACTCAGAACAAGGATAGCATCTGTTCACTGGGATTTGCATCAAAGGCATATTCAAGAGGATGCAGAAGAGCAAGAGAGGCTATTCTGTATTTTTCAAAAGGCCTGTGTGAGAACTAGAAATCTGCCAGGTACAAAGCCAGGTGACTGATCCATCAAGCCTCATATGCATTGTCTAATTGGACTTAGCAGTGTCTCTTGTGTGAAGCTGGACAAAGGCCTTTCTCAATCCCTACTGCATGAATCTTATAAACTAGAGATGCCACGGATTAAAGCTGGGACTTTCTGTATACAAAGGATGTTCTTTACTATGGACCTATGGTCAATAAGGTCCCAGGTTTAATCTTCCAAAGTAAAGTGGGATAAGACCTCTTCTTCCACTGGCTCAGGAGAAAGGAGGACCTTCCACTACCTGGTGTCCTCCGTACATTTGGCCAGGTTGAGAAAGGCTTCTTTGCACCATGACTTGAAATAAGAGAAAAGTTGAACAGATCTGCCTCATCCCTGATAGCTGATGCAATGCTATTCTCTCACTGTTTGCTAAATTGGGGATAAGAAGATATGTAGAGCCTGCTGGATCAGGCCAATGGCCCATCTAGTCCAGCATCCTTTTCTCGCAGTGGTCAGTCAGAAACTTGTGGGAAACCCACAAGCAGAACTCTAATTTCCATAGTGCCCCAGCATGCCCAATGTAAATTCACCCCAACCAGCTCATTGTAGGACATTAAAACAGAAACTTGCAGGTGTTGATGCTTACCATGAGTCTTGGAAGGTGGTGTCAGGTGTCAGTGCTGGAGGACCATGCATGGAAGCTGCCCAAAGATACAAAGTGCTGACACTGGGCCTGTGCATGGTGGCAAGGAGACCTTCACATCCCTCCTCCATAGTGCTGAGCTTGTGGACTGGGACTCAGCCAAGAGTCTAAGGATGTAAGAAGGCAGCGATTTCTATTCCGACCTGTATTGATCACAATCAGCTCTGTTTCCATTCTACTGCAATTTGATTTCCACCAAATAGTATGCTATTTATCTGCCTGCTATTCAACATGATTTAAACAATCATTTATAAAAGGTGTGTTTGATGAAATTAATGATGCAATTATTTCCACACCATTTGTGTCAATGCAAAGGAAATGGAGGGGAGAAGTCATCAATTGTGTGTTGTTTGTAGACTGAAAACAACAGCAACATCTGACATGAGACAAATAAATGAACACCAGCAATTTCCGTTTGTGTTTTCATCAGGATTCTCTGATATCCATACCCATGACACCAAGTACTATATTTTTATTTTACTTTTGCACCCTGCTATGTAAATCATCTGCTTACTTAGGCTTCTGCTGGCTCTCCCCATCCTCAACAGTGTTTGGCTTCTCCACTTAGTTCCCAAGAAGTCTTTTCCATAAAACTTACTTTGTGCTCAATGGAAATGCCGAATCCATTAAGGATGCCTCATTTACACTTGGATGCATTACAGGAATATTTCTCTGGGGTTCTGAAGTTATCATGCTCAATAATTTGATAAGCATATGAAATTTAATAAAGTCTAATTAACTCGTGTAATATAAAATGTTCTGCAAGTCCTGTTTGTATATCTCACGCTGATAAACAGGAAATGTTGTGTCCTAATGCGTTGGCACTTAGCTGTGCGGCTGCTAAATGTTGCTTTTAATTAAACAATAAAGAATGTAACATCCTTTATTGTATTGTTATAAATTTTGATGAGGTGCAACAATTTGATTCCTTTAAAAATTAATTGCCTAGGAGTGTGTTTAAGTAATATTGATTATGTTTGGTGCCTCATGTTGATCAGTGATAGTTAACTTGGCGTTTAAAATATCTTTTTTCCATTATACATTTGTGATGCAAGAATAAAAGCAAAGTACAAAACAAATAGGCACTTGAATTCTAATAGCAATATGCAATAAATGTCAGGCGGCTGGAAATTATGGTCGCAATTTCATCGGAGTACACTTTGTTCCTCTATTATGCCTGCATGAATTTTGCTACTGGCAAAATCTATTACAGATAACAGTTAAGAACCTTTCTAATCTACACAGATAGGCACAAGGAAGGGGACAAAAAAATAAAGAGTGCCAGAAAACTAAATATTAGAAAATGTAATATTCTAGGGGGGAAACTGACACTCGTCAGAAATAATGTGACCACGTTGGCGACTGCAAATGATAATTTCTCTAAGATCATTGCAGAGTAGATGTTTTGGGGATGTTTGACCTTTCTGAAGGGCAAATGACTGATAAGGCGGCGTTTATCATTATATGTGTTTGTGTATTCTGTTGAGAGAGATATTTATCTCTCTGCAATGGCATGGTTATTTTCCGTGTTTAATGATTTCTACCTGAAATAGCAATTACAAAGTCAGATTGCTCAAGAGGAGCCGGTGTTTTTCCACTCCCAAATGCTTGGATCTGAATACCAGGTTTTCATGCTCCGGGGGCTCCTCTATTGAGCTTATACAAAAGTTGCTTTGTACGTACACTGCGAACCCTTTCATTGTTTTTAACTGAGATGTGGCCTACACATGCAGGCAAATGAAGTGTTGCATACCTAGAGATGGGTCGAATAGAATGTACCAAGTGGCAGGCTGCAGTGCTCCTCAACCATGTCCCAGGGGTTGTTGGATTGGAATACCCATGTAGGCCACATTCACACCATCCATTTAAAGCACCATGATAGCACTTTAAACTGTCATGGCTTCCCCCAAAGAATTCTGGGAGTTGTAGTTTGTTAAGGGTCCCGGTAGTTGTTAGGAGACCATTTCCCCTCACAAAGCTACAGTTCCAGAGTTCCATGGGAAGAGGACTTGACCATTAAACCACTCTGGAAATTGTAGCTCTGGGAGGTAAATAGGGTTCTCCTAACAACTATCAGCACGATGAAGCTTCCAGAATTCTTTGAGGGAAGCTGTGGCTATTTAAAGTGATAGTGTGATATTTTACTTTATATGGATGGTGTGGATGTGACCATAGTCCAAGAACATCTGGTGGACCCAGGATTTAAGAGCACTGGAATATTTTTCAAGGCAGGAATGTTGTTATCATCAGCTGGAGCACCAGTGTAACTGATAGACCCTCCTTCATCCATTGAACTCAGGTTGGTATGTTTGGGTGTCAGGTATCACACTTAATCCTTGTAACAGCTGTATAAAACAGGTTAACTTCGGACAGTGACTGGACCAAGGCTACCCTGATCAGAATTGTGGAGCCATATATAACCAGCCCAAGCCCAACATACTACTATGCTACCCTCTGCCAGCTGGTTCTATTAGATGGGGTATTGTGCCATGTACTGTGTGTAAGCATATATGTACAGTGGTACCTCGGGTTACATACACTTCAGGTTACATACGCTTCAGGTTACAGACTCTGCTAACCCAGAAATAGTACCTCAGGTTAAGAACTTTGCTTCAGGATGAGAACAGAAATCTTGCTCTGGCAGTGGTACCTCAGGTTAAGTACTTAATTTGTTCTGGATGTCCGTAGTTAACCTGAAACTGTTCTTAACCTGAAGCACCACTTTAGCTAATGGGGCCTCCCGATGCCGTCGTACTGCCAGAGCATGATTTCTGTTCCCATCCTGAAGCAAAGTTCTTAACCTGAAGCACGATTTCTGGGTTAGCGGAATCTGTAACCTGAAGCGTATGTAACCTGAAGCGTATGTAACCTGAGGTACCACTGTATAGTATATTTGGGGTATATCAACTAGGGCCACACATAAGCCCCCTATCTGCCCCATGGCTCTGATTTGTGCACCACCCCCAAAATCAGGCTAATCACTTTGGGTTGACCACTCACCCTTGATCCATCCCTGTACAATTTTTTTTGTTTGGGGTGGGGTGCAGGGTGAAGGATTTTTAAAGCCCTATTTTCAACATATGGATGGGAGGGGGCAGGGAAAAGAGGAGCCATTGTGTCTCTTTCTCCCCACTCCCAACTGTGAGCAGGTGGGTTTGAATCTGAGGGGTGCTTGCTCCTTCGCAGGGAGCCACTTCTGAAAGAGCTGCAACCAGCACCATGCAGGATCGAATCCTTACCTCACAAAGCTGATAAATGGGAGGACTGGATCCTGTATGGTGCTGGTTGCTCCTCCTGAAGGGTGCCCTACAAAGGAGCCGTACTCCTCTGGATCAAACCCACCTGCTGCCAGTTAGGAGGGGGCTGCTGCTCCTTTGATAGCTGTCTTCCTGCCCACTCCCCAGACTCTGTTTTTATTATGTAACAGCACTGGCTTCGCCTTTGAAGTCAAGAGTCCCCTTAAAGGTCACAGGATTTTAATTGCGGCCTTGCTGTAAATAGTGAAATTGTTGAAGGCAGCCTTTGTTTCTGAAGAGTGTCCTCTATACATGGAACACTCTTTTGAAACAAGACAGTCAAACATATATCTCATCTGTTATTCATTCTTTGCACAAAAGGATTTTTTCCTTCCCCCTCTTCTTCCCTATTTGCAAATGAAGGGGGGTGGGGATGAAAAGAAATGTAAGAGTACAAAAAAGAAAAGAAAAATAAATTAGCAAGGGCACAGCATATTATGAAGTCGTTTAAAGACTTTTTAAGGAATATGGTGCTTTGTCCAAATCTGCGCTTTGCAGCACAGAGTGTCCAGAAGTACAAAAAGGACTTCTTTCCATGCCAGCACAAAGTGTTTGACATGTCTAATCTCATTTTATCCTTCCAATAACCCATTTACACTGAGCTCTGGTCTATACCTTCATCAGCATGGTGGTGGTGATAGAACGGACTGCATCAATTCAAACTCCAGTTGGGAGGTCATGTTTTTTCAGGCCTTCCCAAATGTGAAAAATCCCCTACAAGCAGACAACTAGCACAATGGTGCAAGGTCTTGACTAGAACATCTTTCTGTGACGTCTTCCCCTCTCCCATGAAAGAAGGAAGGAGAACTTATGGCCATCTAGATAGTGTTGGTCTTCATCACTGGTCTTCAATAGTTGGGTTGGGACCCACTAGTAGGTTGCAGCCTGATCCATAATGGGAGCACTATCACCATGCAAATATATGGTAAAAGATTAAGAAATGGGTCTCCAAATGCATGTTTGAGTTAATAGTGGGACCTGGGTCTGAAAAGATTGAAGATAGCTGGACTACACAACCTATCATCCCTGACCGTTGGCTTTACTTACTGGATCTGATGGGAGCATACAAGTTTCCCATCTGTGTTTAAGAGGCACCTGCCCGGTTGCTGATGAAACAGAAGTGGCATACAGTAGACACTTCATCTGAGTCAGTAAGGTAATAAATTTTGCTTTTCCTGCCTTTTAGGGCACAGAAGGCCATCCCGTTTTGAGTAGTGCCTTGGAATAGGAGAATCTGTCAATTTCAGTTTCTCTTGGTTTCTCGTTTCTTCAGTCTTAAATTCAGTTTTCAACATTTCCACATCCGTTTGCTATAAAACGTGACTGTTTCAAGTGGAATGATATTGCAATCTGCACTAGGTGGGTCTTCCTTTGTGCTTGATCCAGAATCTGCAGTTGGTGCAGAATGCTGCACCATGATTGCTGTGTCAGCATATAACACCTGTGCTCAGAGATCTGCAATGGTTGCTGATTCACTACCTGATCTTTTAGTGTGGCAGAACTCACACTTTGGAATTCCCAACCTATTGATTCTTTTTGGCACCTATGAAAAAACTTATTCTTTGGAAAAAACTTCCCAGATATGTAAAATGTTGGTGTGCGTTTAAATCTACTTATCACTGGTTTTAAGTTTTTTGAATATTTTAAATAGTTGTTGTTAAGTGTTTGCACCAATAATGTGATAGTTTTATTCTTTTTGTGAACCATTTTTAGTTTTTTTTTAAAAAAAACAACAACAACAAAGACAAATGCTGTATAATTTTTAATGAAATGAACAAATGTAAATGTCTATTACAGATGGGGGCCTGATATGCTGACAAAATTAATGAGCAGATTTATTTATTTTTTAATAACAGTTTACAGAAATGTGGCAGACACTGTCACTATCACCAGTGGGAGAGCATGGATGAACGAGCATGCGGTGACTGCATGAAGGAGAAATGGATGCGACCCATGCCAGGAAATGGACCTTTGTGGATGCCCAAACTTCTGGTGCTGGGCCTGGCTATTAGAAAGGGGATTTCCTGCTTGGCCATGGGAAGAGCAAAGGAGTAAATGGGGAAAAAAATGAGTTATAATGGAATGGTGGGTGAATGTACAGAACAATTTAAAAGCATGGAAATCCATAACAAAGCAATTCCTACCATCAGCAGCTAGCAGATGAGGCTTAACTCTGTGCTGTGACATGAAGTAGTAAAAGGAACTGATCCTGCTGCAAAATTAAAATAGGGACCCTGTTTACCAACCCCCAAGGCATGTAGAAATAAGGTGTATATATTTAATGCATGAAGTATATGCAATCAGTGCTGCGGGTGATGAATAGGTGGGGGAGATGGAGTCTGAAAAAGCATTGTATGGTTTTGTTTTGTTTAATTTTCTTATCACTGGTGATTCCTAACTGTGGTAGCCAATCATGGTCTAGCGGTTGTTGTCTTTTTTTCTTTTTCCAATTTCCTGTTGCAGGGTTGAACAGGAGTGGAGCATGTGCTTGGCATGCAGAAGGTCTCAGGTTCAATCCTCAACATCTTTGGTGGAATGGGGAAAGACTTCTGCCTGAAACCTTAGATACTAGTCAGTGAGAAGTCGGAGATTATACGAATGGAAGCTTGGTGGAGCAAAAATAGAGCAAGTCCTAAAATTTCAATACCTAGGAGTTATTTTCAATACAATTTGGGGTGGAAAGCACATATTCAACACCTACTTAATAAGGCCAAAACTCTGTCATATGCGCTCCTCCGATTTTTCTTTTCGGATGGAGCTTTGCATGTTCCCTCGGCCCTAAAGGTGTTCAAGGCAAAAGTGGTTCCCGTGCTTGCTTATGCTGCCCCGCTCTGGGTCGTGATGACAGACCTTGCTCCTCTTGAGACTTTGCAAAACCAATTCCTACGTCGGCTCCTAATGCTCCCCCTGTGCGTAAGCAACGCAGCCATGCGTCTAGAATTGAGGATCGCATCCTTAGAAACTTGCCTGTGGAAGCAAGTCTTCAATTATTGGTTATCATTGTGGCATAGATTACCAGACCATTACCTTGCCCAATGCTTATGGCGAGATGAATTCTCCAGCCTTTGGACCAGTAGAATTCATGCCAAACTCCTGAGCTATGGAATCTCTCCCTTAGATTCCCTAAAACTAGATCAAATCACTGCTCAAAGACTGATCCGCCAAAGACTGGATGACATCGATTTACAGCAAAATTATATGCTGGGGGGAGGTGTTTGTTCGCCCCAGAACATTGGTATCACTTTAACTTACTGCGTTCCATCATACCTCTCCTCCCTTTCGACTGTTGCCCATAGGCTGGCCTTCACCAAAGCGAGGTTTAATGTTTTCCCTCCAATGTCCTGAGACATAGATTCTCAAAGGGCCAAACCTCCGCCATGTGCGAATGTGATAAGGAGATGCCGGAGTCGCTTCAGCACATTATGTTCACTTGCCCCTTATTTAAGGTGCCACGGGCAAATTTGTTGGGATCAATCATACAGAAATTAGAGGGTACTCCACCAAAATTCCACCTTGCCCAAATCTTGCAGGATAAGGATGCCCATACGACCCTGAAAGTGGCTAGGTTCCTGGTCGCTGTCCTTACCCAAAAGCGTTGCCAAGGAGCACCACAAGCTAATTAAGGCGTAGTATGCCATTCCATCTTATAGTAGTTTATTGTTATAGTAGTGTTTTAGCGGCTGTTTTTTCCCATGTGCACAGGCTGTTATTTATGTCTTGTTTTTATCTGTATGGGCCTATGGCCGTAATAAATTATTATTATTATTATTAAATATTATTATTATTATTATTATTACTAGTCAGTGGACACAATATTGCGCTAGAGGGACCCATGGTCTGACTTGGTATAAGGCAGCTCCCTGATGTTCTGTGGGGCAGGGAAGAACCCCCAGATTCTTAAATTTAGTGATATAATTTAGCTAATATTTGGAATAGTATGAGGAGTTAAATACAGCAAAGGAAGCGTTAAAATGCAGGCTATACCTGTTTTCCTGTTCAGGAGATCAGCTTGACAGAGGTGCCAATAAGAAACAAAGAGAGCAAAGAGTTGCACCAGTATGAGCGATTGATAATGTAAATACTGTCCCTCCCCTGGCTCTGAGTAGTGGATGGAGACAGGAGAATTGTGAGAGGGAGGTTGCCAGGGTTATAGGGTGTCAGGCTGTGGGGACTCAGCTTCTTTCCCCAATTTGGCTGTAGACAAAGCAGGAGAAAGCAAAGAGTCACTTACCATTTAAAGAGTCTTTAATGACCACAGCAAAAGAACAAAGCAGCCATTCTCGGAATGAAGGTGTTCCCAATTAAGGTTTCCCCCCAATTCTCCCATGTCACTTCTGCTCCTTGCAACCTGATCTTGTAACCACTGTGCTCTTTGTGCAGCCACCTTATCTGCTCTACATAAACTTGGACTGATAGGCTGGACACTTTCCAGCACGTGAGAGAGTCTGTTAGCTCTCTCTCTTTTCCAGTTCTTCTTCACTTTGCTGTTCACCCCCCAGTTCGTCCCAACTTTTGTCTTCAGAACTATGCCCCTCTGCAAACAACTGTTCCAAATCTATAGTGCTCCACTGCTCCTGGGCAGCTTCAGGATCCTGGTCAGGAGCAGGGGGAGGGGAGGCTCCCACCATTCCTCATCAGAGCAGTACTCCTCAGCCTAGTTTCTGACATAGGGGATATGATATCACCGCATGAAAAATGTATCCTTTTGCAGGAGGGTTTTTTGAAAAGGATGAGAAGGAATTGGGGGCAGAACTCCATGTGGGCTGGATGCGAGCATCTGTACCCAAAGACCAGGGAGCATGGCTGGCTTCTGCTCTGAATCCAAGCTTCCTGAAGCTAAGTGAGAAGCAACAAGAGTCACTCTTGGGGTGTAATGCTCTGCACTCCCTCCATCAAGGCTAAGGTGTATATATGTGTAAATAAAACCATATATCTTAAGACTTAAAGACACTGCAGCCTCTGCTGTGCCTTGATTTTCCAATGGAAAAACATCCCAGGGTAAGCTCCTGGAGCTCCCTGTGATCTTGCTACCACAGAGATAGGAAGTGGTACATAACACTATGTTCCTGCAGAGTTAGGCTACCATCGTGGCTGTACTGCTCATGAGAACCATCAGTATTTCTCAACCTTTCCCCCCTCTCAGTCATGAACCACAAGAGTAAGAAGCAGGTAAAGTCTGAGGCAGAATTGCTTCTGAAAACTAGTTGCTGTCAACCACTCTTAGACTAGATGGGCCATTGGCCCGAACCAGCAGGTTCTTCTCATGTACCTCTCCAGATATTGCTGGACTCCAATGCCATGTTGGTTGGGCATGATGGGAGTTGGATTCCAACAACATCTGGAAGGCCCTGGGTTCCACATCCCTGTGGTGAATCAAAGAAAGGCAAGATTAAAGTTACAGGTACTTAGTTTTCTTATCTGGACACTGAAAAAAACCAGAAAGAAGAAGCATACAGAGATGTTTTTAAATTATAGGGACATTGTGAATATCTGTGATTTTCATCTCCTGAAGTGAAAATCACATTTTTGCAGTTTTTGATAAGTGTTCTAAATAAAGCAATTGGTTTCAAACAGTTGTTGTAGGTCTTCGAAAACAGGAGCAACCGCATGGCAACCTGTTGCATGATAAAGTCAATTACATAGAATGGAGAAGGAAAACTTATCTGATGCACGGTACTTATTTACTGCATTTATATCTCACCTTTGTCTCCAGGGAGCTCAGGTTGGTGTACATGGTTTTCCTCCTGCTCATTTAATCCCCACAACAAATGGGCGAGGCTTTCTCCACTTTCCCTAGCTAGATGTCAGCCCGTCCCAGGACAGGGAACAATAGGCCAAGGGGAGCTTTGTGAGACAGTTTTGACTTATGGTGAAAGCTAGAGACACAGAGGCAAGATCTGCTGTGAGCTCCTCCATTCTAGTCTCAGGTTGTATATGCGTGTAAATAAAACCAGATATCCCAAAGATACCACAGAGTTTCCACTCACCTTCATTCCAAGGAAACTGAACCCTAGCTAGGTGCAGGAACCCCTGGAGTTTCTTACTACTCAGAGATTGGGGTGTGTGCAACAATACTTTTATAAAATTATAAGTAAAACAAGGCACCTTCCTGTGTTCCTGTACCACTTGCTTCTTTATACATCTGCCTGGAATTTATGGTCATTGAGGGATACCAACCCGCTCTGAGATGACAATATGTGAAATAATTATGAGATCTAAGACCAACATACAAAATAAGGGTGACATCCAACTGTGGCCTTCCGCTTGAGGAATGAGGCTTATGTTTCCTCTCCCCTGCCTACACCTCCCCTGTACACCCTCCAAATATGCTTTGGGAGACCCTCTGGAGTAGATGGGGGCTAGCATATTGCATGAGCTGAAGTCCACTTGTGCCACATTTGATATCACTCTAAAACTTTGGATCACAAAACCCTTGCAATAATTCCATATCCACTTGAGGAGACAAGCCAGAGAAAAAAATAGGGAAAGTTTTTTGCAATGCTATTGCATTTTCACCTGTGGAAATCAGCCTGCTTGAAAGGGTAATTGGATACACCACTCCTTTTTTTGTAGGATTAGAAACTCGCTCCCATTCAACATGGGCGAACTATGTTACACCCACCAAACTTTGTGTAAACTCACTCATTCTGGCAAGTGAAATCTGGCATCACTTCTTTTCTTTTTTTTATTAGAAAGGCACTGTGAGATGCTTCACAGTTCAAAGACTTCTGCTTTTCTGGCCAGACTATTCCAGTTCTGATGGCAAGCCTCCCAGACCAATTAGAAGATTGCAGGTGCACCAACTTTATTATCAACAGTTTCACTGTGTACTGACAACATTATACAGGGGAGTATCTTGGAGTAAGCCCTTTTAGAAAGATGGCTTTGCTGTCTAAGGCTGTGAAAAGAAGGTTAGGTCTCTCACAGTGGTTGGTCACAAATTCCAAATTGAACCTCATGTAGAAAGACACTGTATACCTCTGCATACCAAACATGGTGGAGGAACTCTAGTGAAATGCCATAATCTTCTGGCCCTGCTGGTGGACCTCTAGAGGAGGAATGGCTGGGAAGATGCAGGAGTCAACCTAGGAATTCTCCCATGGGAAATGCTGAGCCTGGATCTGATTCTGCCTGGAGGTGGTTGCACAGAGGTGATCGTGAAACAGGACCCAGCAGGATCGAGTCCTCCTGCTCTCTGCAGGGAAGCAGAAGGGGATGCAGCATCTCCTTCCCCCCAGCCCTGTCCAAGCAATATATTTTAATTAGGGCTTTAAAAATGCTAATTAAACATGACCCCCACCTAGCCCAAATTGATTTGGGGCCAAATTGCAAGTTGGGTCTTCCTTGGGTTGGACTGTTGGGGTGATGTCAGGGAACTGCCATCAGAACAGGGGCAGGAAACAGAGGGGCAGTTGTGTTACAGGGAGCCTCCGAAAATCTTGCGAAGCAGTTCTTCATCCGGTGATGAGGAAAACCCCACCTCTAGTGGGGAAGAGGTGAAAGGACCAGAGGATGCTGGTAGGAGCCTCAACACCGCTTCTGGCAAAGCTGGCCAGGAGGGAAGCACGCCCCTTCCGT